TCAGCTTAGTATTTGAGTTTGATGTTTCTTTTGTATTAAACTCTCAGATTTGATATTCAGTTTTAGTATATAGGTATTCCATATCATTTTAGATTTACTTATTATTAGCTTCCGCAATAGTTTTATTTCTCAGTTTATCTTTAGTATGCTCATGATTATGACAGCAGGGTTAGCTTGGGGTCACTTGTGATCCTAGGTCCCGTGTCCGCGTCTCGGCGGTATCTCGGGGCGTGACATACTCTATGATGTTTCTATCTTTGATTAGTAACTTTATTGTACTTTTTCATGGATGATAATATAAATATGATTAATGGATATTCAGTCTGATTTTACTTAGCACCGTGAGGATATTGAGATGGAGGCTCTCCCGTACAAAAGGTTAGGTCTCTAGTAGGAATCTACTTGTCCCATAACTATGTGCCACCATAGGATATTATTTGAGATAGACATTAGCTAGTGGATCCACTTTAGCTCAAACTTATGGTTCTTACCTTTGCAAGCAAGGACATTCTTTTTCGGTGTGGGACAGACACTAGATTCCATGTTATATCTCATATGGTCTATGTCGGTTATATGGTAAACATCCCACAATAATGAACTAAGGTTACTTTCGAAGTAAATAAAGTGTTTTAAAGATGTTAAGCTTGCATTGACCATGATTATGACTTATGTTTTCTAACTCTTTTATCTTATGATTTAGCTTGGTCATTACATGTCATGAAAAGTCCTTTTAGCATGATTTCATACTTTTGATGCATTGTTATCATACTTAGTACATTTTATGCACTAATTCATACTTGTGCCTACATTGTTTTACTAATGTAGGGTCTGACGCTCCTACCTCTCACACTTATGGCTAGTTGGTCTTTTGGCACTCAAATATTGGTGAGTCCTCATGTTCCAAGGACCAAGACACTTTTATTGCTTTCTTTATTTCAATTTTCATACTTTGTATGTGATGTATGGGTTACGTCCCAATCACTTCCTTATGATGTAATAGATGTCTTATTGAGACTTATAATAGACTTCCACTTTTATCAAACTCTTTTATGATATAAGACTGTTCTTTTGAAATCCTTATTTTTATTATCCTGATGTATGTCAAGTGTCTTGTATAGGGACTCTCGGGGTTCTATACACCATGTTACACCTAGGGTATACTTTGGATCGTGACAGGATTGTATCAACAAATCCTTTTGAGAGGATTGTGGTTCCTGACACTGATCAGTAAATGCGGCAGTTTCAACATATATAGGATTATTGTAAGGATTCCAAGGGCATGTGCATAAGGCCTACTGGTAGTTGATACTGGTGGCATACCTTGAGCATAAGAATTATTTTGAGGGTATGATGTGTGATTTTTATGATAGGTAGAATTCAAATGTTGCTTGTTTGCAGAAAGAATATTAGTAAAATTTGGTTTATTGTTAGGACGAGAGCTAGGATGAGTTGGTATAAATGACTCAGGAAGGAGGCTTGATTCATAATAGCATGGGCGTCTATGTCTACATGATGAGTGGTAGTATTTACACTCATTTGAGGTCTATTTAGCTCAATAATTAGTGTTCTCAATGCCTAATTTTGTCCTATTCTTATGATATATTGATGATTTGCAGCAATGAAAGTAAATGGACAAGACAATGGTTGATGTTTGAAACAATCACCAAAAATGCAAAAAAAAAGTACAAACTACACATTGTTGATCGCTTAACAAAACAGGCGAATCACTAAATAAACTTGAGACCGCCTAAGTCGACAGTGCACTGAGTCAACTCTCAAGGTCAATTGGATATCACCAAATTTGATAGTGTTGACAGATAAAATGATGGTCCAAACAGCGACATGAGGTGGCAATCAATGATTCACCAATTTGACAAAAGCGAACTCAAACGGGATCGTTGAATAAGGCTCAAACACCTAAAATAAGAAAAAGGTGATCGAAGAAAGATGGGTGATTTATCGAATGTGATTGGTGAACTCAACTAACGTCACCAAATGAGACGCAGGGTTAATTTTTTGACAAAATTTTGAGAAACTATAAATAGCCCAGGAAAGAGAGAAAGAGGGTGTGAAAATTGAGAGAAATAGTCTGAACATTCTAAAGAGAGAAACATTTTTCATGGAGTGAGAACACTTTTAGTTTGAGTTTTTCAGATTTGTGAACTTGAATTTGGTTATTTGAGGTTGAATTTGAAGTGAGTTTGCTATCAAGTTCTCAATTTCATGCTACCCATGGCTATCTTAATGAAATGTATAATTTATTTACACTTTGCAATGTGTGGCTAAAACCTCAAACTCTTGGGGTGTGATTATGGGGTTGAGTGTTGATGTAATTTAGTGGGTTTATTGAATTGCTCTGTTTTATGTAAGGGTTCTCCCCCTAGCCACTATTCAAGGGCCACGGTAATCACAACGGCCCATGAAGCCCCACACAGACCGTGAAGTAGTCCGTGAAGGGTTTCATTAGACTTAGAATTTGGGGTCAACTTCAAACGATCATATCTTTTAGCGCAAAACGAATTAGGTGGCCCATGACCTATCAAATTAAAGATCTCTGAGTCCTCTTTCGACGCCACCGAGTTTGCCTAATTCCAAGCTCGGAGTAAAAAGTAATGCCCAAAATAGTAAAGCCCTGTCAGGCAGGATTTCTTCACGACCTGTTTGACGGGCCGTGGACCCGTGGTAGTCATGATGACCCATTTTGGCTTTCTAGTGAGCCAATTCAGCAATTTTTAAGTCAGGGGTTGTTGGATCGATCTTTTATCAATTGTTTTAACTCAATATTACATCGTTTTGCCTTCTACCCAAAGCCCTATATAATGATTTTAAACCCCCAAATCACCCAAACTCAATTCATTCTCTTAAATTTCCAAAAGTTGATCAAGCTCTTCCTCTCAAATATTTCTCTCTTTAGAAGTTGAAGAAAAAAGCTAGGGTTCCCAGATCAAACCTCCAAATCCTCCATTGCTTCCATGCTTTTGGCATTAAGGTATGATAATTTTCATCCATGGAGCCCTTTCCTCCATGGAGTTCCTAAATTCTCCAATTTTCAAGTTAGAAATCTCCAATTGAAATTATGAGTTTCTTTCATGTCATGAGTTCCTTTCAATGTTGATTTATTTGATTGATTTATGAACTTTTATGCATGAATTGAAGTAATTGCATGTTTTTAAGTTGATTTCCCATGAACCCTTGCATAACCCATGTTTTCTAAGCTATGTTGATATAATGTGGGTCTTGAACTATGAAAGATGAATTTATAAAAATATGCATGTCTTCTCTTTATGAAATAGATGTAAATGAATTTGAAGATGCATTGACTTTGAAGACATGATGAAGCTTATGAATTATTGAAAAGAATGCATGTTTATGACTCAAGAAAGCTTATCGATGAGATTGTCAATATGTTCTATGAAGCTTGGCCACATGACATGAATGACATCTAGATTTGCCCTCAATGCTTTTCGGGATATTTCCCTGAATTAGGTCTTGATTAGTATGGTATCCAGATATGCCATCAATGGTTAGAGACTACGATTTCAAAACTATTTCCATTAGTATGAGGGGCATCTCTAGCATGAAGTGAATGACTATGGGCCTTAAAAGCAATTATGAAAGATCATAAACGGTGAAATATTTTCTCACGCATGGTCTAAGGAGCTATTCTATGATAAGACAAGTGGCGACTATCCACAACTTTTAAAGATAAGACAAGTTAAGATTAATAACTACTCTGTGGGATTTATATTTAGCACCGAGAGGATATTGAGATGGAAGCTTTTCCGTGTTGAGGTCGGGTTTCTAGTAGCAATCTCATTATCCCTTACCTATGTGCCCCCATAGGATGATGGTCTAGATAGACATTAGATAGTGAATCCACTTTAGCTCAGATTCATAGTTCCACCTTGGCAAATAGGACAACCCTTTTCGGTGTGAGAGACATCGGAGGATCATGTTATAGCTCACATGGTCTTTATGTCGATTAAGGCTATTTTCCACAATAGTAATGAACTAAGGTTACTTCAAGAAGCATTTCACATGTAAAGACTATTTTACTTGCATTGATCAATGATTACGTTTTATGTTTTCTAACCCTTTTATCTTATGTTTTAACTTGGTCTTCGCATATCACTAAAATGTCCTTTTTAGCATGATTTCATATTTTTATGCATGACTATCATACTTGATGCATTTTTGTACTAACGCATACTCTTGCCTACATTTCCCCAAATGTAGGGTCCGACAATTCCTATTCATACCTCTGTGGCTAGAATATCTTAGTAGTTGAAGACTGAAGATTGGAGAGGCCTCATGTTTCGAGGACCAAGCCTTTATTTCATTATGTTTTCATTTTAGTTTTGAACTCGATATAGGTGCTACGCCTGATAAACTCTTATGTGCTAGATGACTTGAGACTATGTTTAGATTTTCGCTTTTCTCTATAAAACTTTTATATGTTGAAACTGTCTTTTTAAATTTTTTAAACTCTATTATCTTGTATGATGTATGCTAAGTGGCTTGTATGGAACCTTTTCGGGTCTTGTACGCCATGTTACGCCTAGGGGCTACCTTGGGTCGTGACATACCCTAACTTCATTGTACCTCAAGAAAAATAATAGGTCTTCATTCTTCTCCCTATTTTCTTCTTCTTATTATTTTATAGGTTCATGAAAACAAATTTTGAGGCATTTTTCAAATTTCAATTTACATTTAAAATTTTCATAATAAAAACTGATATTTAAATAAAGTATTTTTCATTTTGAATAATTGTGCTCATCAAACTGCAAATAAAAGAGATTAGTTGATAGTTGAAGAGTCCAATTTTTTTTTTAAAAAAAACCAATTGAAATGTGAGAGAATCTTTGTAGTTGAGCATTAGTATGGGAGTTGTTACTTGAGGTTTCAATTTGGGTAATTGAATCGTATCCTGCCTTTAATTCCCATTTACGTATATATATATATATATATACAGTAATAAATAATATATGTTTTTGTTAATTCAACTTTCTTTCAATGGCATTGGCATCTGAGATCTCAATCGCCGGAATCCTGGCTAGTAGCGCTATCGCTGCTTGTTTTGCGGAGGTATTTTTCTTGCGTCTCTGAAGTGATTGATATTGTTAATTTAGAAGATAACTAGTTGATTAGATCTGTGAATTTGCAGTTGTGTACTTTACCTCTAGACACCGCTAAAGTTAGACTACAGTTACAAAAGAGAGCAGGGGAAGGTTCCGGCAAGTACAGGGGATTATTAGGTACAGTTGCTACAATTGCTAAGGAGGAAGGTTTATTAGCTCTTTGGAAAGGCATTGTACCTGGCTTACATCGACAATGTATATATGGAGGCCTAAGGATTGGGTTATATGAGCCTGTAAGTATTCATTTGTGGAATTTATACTCCTATTTCCTTAAAGAATATAGTAACAGTTTTTGATTCATTACATCAGGTCAAGGCCTTCTTTGCACATACCTATTATGTTGGAGATGGTTCCTTATTCACTAAAGTGTTTGCTGCTCTTGTTACTGGTGAGATAAACTTGATCATCACACTCTTATGATAATTGTATTTATTGACGGTTGACCTCTTCTTTCCAAATTTCCAAAGGTGCAATCGCAATTGCTCTGGCTAATCCAACTGATCTTGTAAAAGTTCGGCTCCAGGCTGAAGGTAAAGCTGGTACACCTAGGCGCTATGATGGTGCTTTCAATGCATACTATACCATAGTGAAACAGGTGATTGAGGATCTAACATGCACAACAAATTTATTCATGCACAATCATTTACATATTTTAGTTGATCAAATTATAGGAAGGGCTGGCAGCTTTGTGGACAGGAATTGTGCCAAATATTGCACGGAATGCTATTATCAATGCTGCTGAACTGGCCAGTTATGATCATCTCAAAGAGGTACATCTAATCATATTTTGATTCACCTGCTGTACCTCGACTACTTTTCTGCAACTATTTCATACACTGCTTCTCTGAAATTATATCATATGCAGATAATTTTAAAACTTCCAGGATTTACAGACACTGTTTTAACTCATCTCATAGCTGGTTTAGGTGCTGGATTCTTTGCAGTTTCTATCGGTTCTCCAGTTGATGTGGTAAAATTCCCTGTTCCTCAATATGTTAAAAGTGTTTTTAAGTGAATTCAAAAAACCAGATTATCTACCTATGGAACCTGCATTTTCTTTTTGGCTTTATCTGTTTTAAATTGTTTGAACCTGCAGTTTCTATTTGGCTCTATCTGTTTTAAATTGTTTTTTCGGAGAAATTACTCTTTTTTCTAATCATGGAAATTCTTATCGTTTTGAGACCAGAAATTTTTGAGATAAGATATAGGAAATGCACTAAAATGTGGCATAGCTGGTGCTTGCATGCCACTATTGTAAAAGAAAAGAAAAGAAGGTTTAGAGGACTGATGTCGCAACTTAATTATCTATACCTTTTCGTTCCAAGCTAGTTACGGTCAGTGTACATATTCTCAATATTCAGTTCGCTCTAGTGGGTCTCAATTTGAGTTTGGTGACTAAAGGATTTATTAATGTTAGACTATGTTTATGTTGATTGTTAACCAACTGCAAGCCTCCGCCTTTATCCGAACGTCGGACCAGCTATGTTTTTTGAAGCTCATATAGGCGGAGTTGATTTAAACCCTTGGGCACTGTTAGTATGGAAGAATAAAAGAAACCATAAAATCCGGTAGAACTGATACAAGTGTTGTGTTGTATATTGCCTAGCTAGATATCAGTGCATTTTATCTTTCAAGCAATTGATTTTAGAAGAAAGTGAATGACCAAGTAAGTTGTAGTTGAGATCATGTAGCTATTACTATCATACTCTTAGGGCTTAGCTATATCTATCATATTTAGTTGCATGTTTGAATTCCATTAGGATCTCGTAAACTATACTGTTAGAATAGAAATATGTACATATACTCCTACTTAGAATAGGAAGAAGAATAGGAATAGGAATCCTAGTTAGAAAAGGATTTCAAGTTCAAAAAAAAAATAGTTAGAAAAGGATTTCAATGTATTGTCTATAAATAGGGTCTCAATGTAACAATTTAGATACACAATTCAATAATATCTTCCCCATATATTTCTCACATGGTATCAGAGCATTGGTGAGAAATTTTAAGTCATCGTGTCAAATTCCGGCGACGACGGTTGGGACTAATTTGTGTCATCTTTCGTTCTGAAGGTGTTGTGCGAAAGACAACACCATCACGAAGCTCGGGAAGCTCAGGCGACCGAACCCCAATCAGATCCACCGAAAAAAAACTCCCCACGCGCCCCCACGCGCTGGTCGGAGGTGGAAGCTTTCCGGCGAGTAAATAGGATGCCCTCATCTTCTCTTCAGAATCAGGTTCCACATTCCATACTGTTTCCTGAGTCACATCTCTATCCTATCACCCCTCGTGTCTTTGGGAGCACATGCTTTGTTCATAACTTAGCCCCAGGGAAAGATAAATTAGCCCCTCGTGCCCTCAAATGTGTCTTTCTTGGTTACTCTCGAGTTCAAAAAGGGTATCGTTGTTATTCACATGATCTTCATCGTTACCTTATGTCCGCTGATGTTACATTCTTTGAGTCTCAGCCTTACTATACGTCTTCTGATCATCCTGATGTTTCTATGGTCTTACCCATACCTCAGGTTTTACCTGTACCAACTTTTGAGGAATCTACGATTACTTCTACATCTTCAGATGTAGTGCCACCACTCCTAACTTATCATCGCCGTCCGCGTCCAGCACTAGTACCAGATGATTCATGTCTTGCGCCAGACCCTGCTCGTACTGCGGACGTGCCTCCTCCTAGCCAACCACTTGCACTTCAAAAAGGTATACGATCCACTCGAAATACTAACCCTCATTATACCTTCTTGAGTTATCATCGTCTATCATCACCCCATTATGCCTTTGTATCATCTTTGTCTTCTATTTCCATTCCTAAGACTACAGGTGAAGCACTTTCTCATTCTGGATGGAGGCAGGCTATGGTTGATGAGATGTTTGCTTTGCATAAGAGTGGTACTTGGGAGCTTGTCTCTCTTCCTGCAGGTAAATCTACTGTTGGTTGTCGTTGGGTTTATGCAGTCAAAATTGGTCCAGACGGTCAGGTTGATCTGCTTAAGGCTCGCCTTGTTGCCAAAGGGTATACTCAGATATTTGGGATAGATTATAGCGACACTTTCGCCCCTGTGGCTAAAATAGCATCTGTCCGTCTTTTTCTATCTATGGTTGTCGTTCGTCATTGGCCTCTTCATCAGTTGGACATTAAGAATGCTTTTTTGCATGGTGATCTTGAGGAGGAAGTCTATATGGAGCAACCACCTAGTTTTGTTGCTCAGGGGGAGTCTAGTAGCCTTGTATGTCGATTGCGTAGGTCACTCTATGGTCTGAAGCAGTCTCCTAAAGCTTGGTTTGGGAAGTTCAGCACAGTTATTCAACAATTTGGCATGACTCGTAGTGGAGCTGATCACTCTGTGTTTTATCGGCATTCTGCACCAAATCAGTGTATCTATTTGGTTGTGTACGTTGATGATATTGTTATCACTGGTAATGATCAAGATGGTATCACCAAATTGAAGCAACATCTCTTTAAGCACTTCCAAACTAAAGACCTTGGCAGATTGAAGTATTTTCTAGGTATTGAGGTTGCTCAGTCTAGATCAGGTATTGTTATTTCTCAACGCAAGTATGCCTTAGACATTCTTGAGGAGACGGGAATGATGGGATGTAGACCTATTGACACTCCTATGGATCCGAATGTTAAACTCCTTCCAGGACAGGGGGAGCCACTTAGTAATCCTGAAAGGTATAGACGGCTCGTTGGAAAATTGAATTATCTCACAGTAACTAGACTTGACATCTCTTTTCCTGTGAGTGTTGTAAGTCAGTTTATGACTTCCCCTTGTAATAGTCATTGGGAAGCAGTTGTTCGAATCTTGCGATATATAAAGTCAGCTCCTGGTAGAGGACTACTCTATGAGGATCAAGGCCATGAGCATATCACTGGATATACAGATGCTGATTGGGCAGGATCACCCTCTGATAGACGTTCGACATCCGGATATTGTGTTTTAGTAGGAGGTAATTTTGTGTCGTGGAAGAGTAAGAAACAAAGTGTGGTTGCTCGATCTAGTGCAGAATCAGAATATCGAGCAATGGCGGCAGCAACTTGTGAGCTAGTCTGGATCAAACAGTTGCTGGGAGAACTAAAATTTGGCGAAATTGATCAGATGGAACTTGTGTATGACAATCAAGCAGCTCTTCATATTGCATCAAATCCAGTGTTTCATGAAAAGACTAAGCACATTGAGATTGACTGTCACTTTGTCAGAGAAAAGATACTCTCAGGAGATATTGTTACGAAATTTGTGAAGTCAAATGATCAGCTTGCAGATATCTTCACCAAGTCCCTCACAAGTCCTCGTACTAATTACATCTGTAACAAGCTAGGTACATATGATTTGTATGCACCAGCTTGAGGGGGAGTGTTAGAATAGAAATATGTACATATACTCCTACTTAGAATAGGAAGAAGAATAGGAATAGGAATCCTAGTTAGAAAAGGATTTCAATGTATTGTCTATAAATAGGGTCTCAATGTAACAATTTAGATACACAATTCAATAATATCTTCCCCATATATTTCTCACACATACCAAAAGTTTTAGTTTGAACCAAAAAGTGGAAATCCCCTTTGGACTGACTTAAAATCCCATCAAGCTTAATTCCATGTTATTGTTGATATTTATGTTATTCTTACTCTTTGTTTTTTGAAAAATGAAGTTCTTGCTGAAATTTTTTAATATGGAGGTATGGAAAGCATCATAGAGAAATTTGAGAAGAAGTTTGCTTTATGGCAGATGCAATACCTTTCTTGAGGGGCAGGCTTACAGACACAAACAATGTCCTAGATAATATTCCCTCACACTACATGTCTCTCGACCCTATGCCAAAAAAGATATAGCTACAGCTAGACACAATTAGAAGGAACTTCCTATGTAAAGGAAACACCAAGTTCCATAAATTCTATTTGGTCAAGTGGCCAAAAGTCACACTCCTCCCTAAGCACCTGGGTGGTTTAGGCATCAAGAACTTGGCTGTCCAAAATAGATGTCTGATTATGAAATGGTTATGGAGGTTCAATAGGGACGTAGCATTATGGAAAAGGTGGTCTCTGAAAAACATGGAATCCAGTCACACTGGTGCACCAAAGTCTCCAGAGCACCATTTGGGGTTGGCCCTTGGAAGTACATTGCTAAACTCTGGGAAGAATTCAACCAGCATCGTAAATACCACGCTGGCTGTGGTTTACATGTTAAGTTCTGGACAGATGGATTGGTAACACCACTCTCCAGAATGATCTAGCTCTCTACTCAATATCAAGCAACCCCAATTCCTTATCTCCCAGAGCAGAGACAACAACACTTGAGCTCCAATCTCCAGAAGACACTTCGAAGACTAGGAACTTGAAGACTTATTTAATATGCTTTCTAGATTGGAGAATTGCATATTCAATGAGCAAGATGCAGACAAAATCAGATATGAAGGAAAGTCAGATGCCAAATATACAGTGAAGGCAGGATATACAACTTTGTGTGCCCAAAATCAAATGGACACTTGGCCATGGAAACTGATCTGGAAAAATTAAAGCATCCCCAAGGTGTTATGTTTTAGCTGGATAGTACTGCATGAGGCCTGGTTGACTCAAGAAAATCTTAGTGGAGGGAAGATAATCACTGTTAAAAGATGCTATGTGTGTAAACAGAACATAAAAACCAATAGACATCTCCTCCAACTGTCATGCCCCAAAATGGATTGTGACGTGGCCGACACCCAGTGCCTATTAGCTTGCACCAAGAGAACCATTATAATGTATTACATACTCAACTCATATCCATGTAACTCAATCATCTAATTATTTTCCATAGTAACCGAAAGAAATGAGAAAAGAGTTCATTTACGATAAAAGTGCATCAAATCATAAACTAGACATAAGTAGAAATGTCATTCACAATTCCATATGAGTATTCATTATACCAACTAAATACAAAGTCTCTATGACACAACATATGAAATGATAAAGTTATGGGGAAATCCTGCACTGTACAAAAATATACAATTAAATAGGTGATCCCACGAGTACATAGGTGCGCTCACCAAAAGGAGAAAGTTGCAGGAACTCTTGTTGTTCGTTGATCACCCTGCATCTGGCCAATCCTAAACCTAAACTTTACATCATTTTAAAAATGATGCCTGTGTATTGGAATACTCAGATATGTGACATAGCCACCACTCGTGGTGGGGAAAGTGTTATACAAATATATATGGAGAATGTAACAAGTGCATGAAAGATATATCATCAGCAATTTAACTCACCAAAAGCATACAAAGGGAACATAACTAGAATCATATAATAGAGGAACCAAGTATATAATTTAATTCATCAAAAGATGTAATGAAGCACACATTACTTTATAACATGTTTAGAATCTTAAAACCATCTCAATTGTGTAGTGTTCCACAGTTTTGATGTCAATGTCTCAAGCCTCATAATCATATGTGATGTATACCTCGGGGTGCCTTCCACGAGCCCAGCATACTCTCCCTGCTAGATAAGCTATGATACATCAGGGACGAAATCCACGGGCCTGATCATCCCCTCGATCGGACAAGCAATGGTACACCGGGGTACAAAACCCACAGGCCCGGGCATCTCCTCGACCCGATGAGGAAATCAATATTAAAGTCTTTTGTAAACATTCTTACTTACTTACTTTTCTTAAGTAATGGCTTTTGGCCGAATCTATTTCATTAAATCAAAATAGGGTAAATCAAATCAATTCATTCATAAACATGTAAAAATAATTGTAACCAACAAGTCACAAGAGATCAGTAAATGATGAAGTGCATCGCACATTAACCCCAATAGTCATAAAGAATCTTTAAGTTTTTTAAATTTTCAAGAACTTAACTATTTAGTCATTTTATCATTTAAATCCCCAACCAAGAGTAGACCATGTCAACTTATCTCGCACGTGCATGGGATCTCATTAGCACTATCATTCAAGTAATGACGTGATTTTTGAAAACATACAAGTAGCTAGAAGCTTGGCATACCTCAAAGTCTCTTTAATCAAGCTAAGAGTCGCTCCAACTGTTTCAAAATACTCCAACAACTTCTATATACATTCATGAACTCGTAATAATCAACAACATATACCAATACCAGTTTAATCAGCAAAGTGTTCTACACTTAGGCTGAATTTTCACAAAATTCATATTCCCTCATTTTAGGTGATGTCTTGGTTAATCACCTAAACAATAATCCAACAATGGCATAACTACATTTATTTGAGCCGTATTAGACAATAAGTCCACCATTTAAACCCAAAGACACTATTGATCATCACTTTCACCAACTTCATACCCTTTATTAATGTCATATTAGGGTTTTGCATTTATGGTCACTCAAACCATTGACCAAGTCAAATAGCGCCTTTTTACCACCATAAATATCCATAAAAAACTCATACTTATCATGTATGTAAGTGTAGAAATCACCTTGAAAAAAACCCAAAATTTCAATTTTAGAGATTATTTGAAGATACTTGATGTTCTTGTAGAAATCTTCCCTAACCAAAGATTATAATGTTGTTCGTATAGATATTAACCAACTCCGACTAACACAAATATTGGACTAAACTTACCTTGATTATTATAAAAATGACCTTAGCCGTCGAACCCTTGAAGAACCATTGTGAGACAGAGCTGGATTCATTTGTCATGGTAAGAAATGAAGAGAGTTTTTTTTGTTTGTTTGTTTGAAAATACCAATAGTTCCCTTTGTTTTGAGACTCACTTAGTGGAAAAAAATTGTCATTTTAAGTCCCCATTTCGTGACCTGAGAATACCTTAGCATTTGAGTTGATTTTTTTTTTGTTGGTAATTCCATATTGTCTTTTGAACATCATTACATTCTCCATCCATGTACCTGGGGATCACGTTATAATGTCCAAAAATATTTTTCTTAATTTTCGTCGCCATTCGGTATAAAAAAAAATATTTTTTACATTTGTTAACACTTAAAGTGTTAAATTTAAATCGAAATTTCAGGGACACTTCACCTACATTGTGCAATGGTTGCTTATATTTGGAACATGTTCATGACAATTTATGCTTAAGATGGGTCATGCCTGACAGTATCAAGGATGTCTACACTGGTTGGATTTCATGGCAAGTTGATAAATCCATCGGAGAAGTCTGGAAAATGATTCCTGCTTGAATTATTTTGGTGTGTTTAGATGAGAGGAACAAAAGATTTTCTGAAGGAATATCAACTCCAAACCATTCCCTTAAGGCTAGATGTCTTTTAGATTTGTTTAGCTGGGATAGTTTATTTCCCGTAGAATCTCATTTGAAGTTGTTGGACTTTGTAAGCTCTTTATCCTTAGCATAGGTCTCAATTCTCGTTGTAACATAGCTATCAATCTCACTCTTTTGTAACTATTTTTCCATATGCATCTTCTTGATGCCATTTATAATACTACTTCATCAAAATATAACTTATAAAAATGTGTTGCTTATTAAATATTTTTTTATGAATGAAAAGGTTTTTGCTTGCTGTCTTTTAGGTCAAATCAAGAATGATGGGAGATTCAGTATACAAGAACACCTTTGATTGTTTTTTCCGAACATTGAAGTACGAGGTAATTTTGTTAAGTCATTTTCTGTTTCAGAACACATGGTCATTTGTCAGCATAACATATTTATTGTAGGTAGAAAAGTATTAGTAAAACGTACTTCAGTAATTTGCGACCTAAAATTGTTTACTGCATATGTAGACACAGAATTGTAGCAAGTCTAACTAATGGTGTTCCTTTCAGTAATTGTATTTTGAAAAGTAATATACGTCCCAAAGTATGAAACAATACTCATGCTTGAAATAGCTGAAAACTTCGAATTTCAGCTTGAACATCACACATAAGATTGTTTTATTTTTATTTGGAGAATCCAGAAGTTGAAGTTGAAAATCACTCATTTGTATTTTTTCCATGCATCTTCTTGATGCTTTTTAGTGAAAGAATCATATTTCATAAAAACTAATCAGAAGTTGAAATGTGCCTCTGCATGCAATGAGAAGTGGATTCCTCCCACTGATCATAAAGAAAAAGAAAGAAAGAAAAAAAGAAGAAAAAAAGTTGCAGGAGTAGGTAGTGAGATAGATAACAAATAGCGGATGACGGATATGACCTATTTTTGTCTAATTGCTAAATAATGTATGAGGAAAAATATTGCTATAGAGGAACTTTTTTTATAACACAGAAAGCAGCTATACAATTAACCAAATATTTACTCCTGTTTCTATCTTCTTTGTATGAATTCCTCCTGTCTAGACCTATGCTTCTTAATCCCTTGGTATATCAACTGGTGTCAATGGGGAGCTCAGAGCAGTGGCCCTTTAGTTACTAATTGACAAACTGCTTGCTGGCGATCCTGTATTCTCAACTTACATTGTGTTGCATCACTGATCTCAAATTTACCCTGATAATATCAAGAAAAGTTGGTTTTCGGATTAGTAGATATTAATATGAAATGCTTATGTAGCTTAACATGGCTAATGCAGGGACCACTTGCTTTTTATAAGGGTTTCCTCCCCAATTTTTTTCGACTAGGATCGTGGAACGTTATCATGTTTTTGACGCTTGAGCAAGTAAGTACAACTCCTACTCTGGGTCTAAAACCATGACTATAGATGTTAAGCATAATACTTACATTCCAATGAGTTTTGAGAAAATAATTTGTCCATCATTGTTATATATGTTGAGCTGAACCAACTCTCATTTAACCAATATACCTCTTTATCGTTTATATAGTTTCTTTTGACCATGGAAGGCAATTATGACAAGAGTAGAGATTGTGCATTGTCGAGTATTTGTGAGGGAACCAACATTTGCATGCTAACTTTTTATGATTTTAGATGATAAAAGAACGGAAAAGTGGTATCAAGATTCAAGAAAAGCGAGAGTATACCCGATAACATTTTTTGTGGTATAAAATGATCGTAAAAGGGTTTAAATTGCCATGAACGTATTGAAAATTGATTTAAAAAAATACCTCCCTTCGACCTAATGAGCCATAATTCCCTTTAACGTTATCTCTAAGCACCAAATTCCCCCTCATTTTAACGGGATATGGAATATGTGGGACTTTTAATTAAACACGTGGCACAATTTATTGGTCCACATGGCAAAAAGACCAGCCCAAAAACAACCCAATCCAATTTAAAAAGACCCATGCCCTTATATACCATAAACCTAACCCCCAATTTCACCATTGGAAACAATCACGCAAAACTCTTGTTCTGCTTTCGTTTCTTCTTTCCAAAGGGATTACCTATTGATTTGATACCATCCATGGCCAATGCCAAGTTATATTGTAGACATTCTTGGATTTTTCTTGTGATATCATAAACTTCACATGTTATACCACTTCTTCATGATGACTTTTTAGCATGTGAATCTTCTTATAGTATTATTGATAAAAATCGGGTAACTTGAATAAAAAGAAGAAAATAATGTAGAAGCAAAAATACAAAGAGTAAAGACAATTTTTAAAAGATATTTGAAATTTGAGAATAAAATTCCTAAATTTCAAGATTAAGTTTAACAACCCTAACTGATCTTCGTATTGAAAATTAGCGGATTAGAACTAATTATGATACAAATAGAGTCAATCAAGAACTAAGATCAAAAGGTAATATAGACCCCTATTTCGACGAAATTAGGTATACGACTAATTACCATCCTTGATTTATGAATAAGAACCAAATATATCAAGTTAAGAATAATCGTACCTCTTAAAAAATTGTTCTTATAAGGTTTTAAGATAAATCTATAGTCACATCACACAAAGGTGTAAAAAAGAGAAATCTCTCAAATAATATTTATCACGTCTAATGAAAAATAACAAAATCCAACCCTAATATAGGAAAAACCCATCACAAATAGCATGAGATTCGAATCCTATTTTATGGAAATAGTAAATACTAAAACCAAACTAGACAACTTTTAAATTAGGAAAGCATGTAAAAAACAATACCAAACTTCTTCCTAAAATTAGCTAAAAAAAAGAAAGGAAAGAGTGGCCAAATTTCCTCCGATTCACATGCCTAATTTCAGCCCTACTTTGGGCATGAATTTCAACCATTTTTGGGGCTTTAACTTTCAGCACTTCGGGGAGCAAATAACCCCCTTGTTGGGCACTCCTTTGGGCTCCATGTGGGCCCTTTCTCTTGGGCTTCATGTGACCCCAATCTTTCTCTTCTTGGACTTGGATCATGAAGTATGTGCTGCACTTAGCCCATTCTCTTTATAATTCTTGGGTTCTTCCACAATAAGCATCTTCTTGATTCCCATTGAAACATATCAACTTTAATGGAGGTATGCTACCATGGATGCTAAAAAATAATTCTTCCTCGAATTTGAATCTTGCAAAATAAGAAGACATGCATTAGTAAACGACATCCATCAATTGATAGCAACAATGGTAGGAAAAGCAAGATAGTGACCACGTGTCCACTTAACCAAATTAAGCCTAGCATGTATAAATACATCCTTATAAAGCATGTGGACATTATCATCTGAGTAGAAAATTCTCTTGCTTATATAAGCACAACCAAATTCCCGTCTAGATGCCTAAGGAAATGATACATGGAACTCCAATTTAGTTCTATCAATAAAGTATTTCAATGGGCATGCAAAAAACGACACAAGATCCCTAAAACATTCATCAAATTGAACACTTTAATGATATAGCCAAGTATCCTTTATTACACCACTCACATATTCTTCCACATAAAAACTATTCATATAAGCACATGAGTTTTCAAGAAGGTTAGAAGAATTTTTGAATTTCAAATAGAATCTCATAATTTCTAAGTAATTACTCTTAAAACAAGGTCCAACAAAGAGTATTTGATCACTAGTATCATAATAGTCATGTATCTCCTATCACTAATTATCACCTTTTTAAGCTCAGAATCATCAAGACTTGAAGAATAATGTCTTCTCCCACGGAAAGAATCATATTTCAACAAGTTGTCACACAAAAACTCATTCAACTCTAGAAGAATAAGAGAGGAGGAATCATCTAACTCTTTCACAAGTCCCCTCCCACAAGCATCATGCCTAATCAAAATGATGTCATGCTCAATTTTAAAAAGGAAAAAATTACTCTTATGCTTGAACTTAGAGGTAATAGTTAATGACTTATTAATTATTATATAGCAAAATATCATCATCCTCAAAATTAATATAATCACAAATATAAGAAATAAAAGTGTAGTCCATTACTTCCAGAAAAAGTTAGGTATTTTAGGAATATCAAGAATATGAATAAACCAATTATAGATATTGTACTTGGTCTTGTTTAGCAAAGGAACACCATCACCTTGTTTTTTCTTGTTCATTAGTGTTAGATCCACATCTGTCTTGTTGGACTTCTTGTCACGAGTCTTATCTTGGACAAATCCAAAATAATTCTCTTTACCTTTATCCTTCTCATCAGCATGCACTTGCGCAATGGGGAATGTAGTTTTGACCATCTTAGATTAAGTTTATCTAATGATGGTTCTTCAATGCAAACTTTCCCATGAGTACCTACAAGAGAGTCGAAACAACTAGAAAAAAAGTAAGAATGTTAGATTTAGTATAAGAAATAGCCTCACTCAAACTCTCTTGTTTTTCTCTCTTTATCTCACGACCTTCCCCTCTTATTTTACTCTCATGGTCATGATCTCACTTTTCTTTTCTCTTGATGTCACTTTTTTCCTCATTTGACATCCCATTCTCTTCACACAACACATCTTCTCCTTTTTCCTCTCTTGGAATGTCAGTATGCACTCCCTTGCTCCTCTTAATCTTTTCTCTCTCATCATCATCTATCCTCTCTAAATTTTTTTATATCCTCGTGAATTTGTGAAAGAGTCAAAGATGCGAGAGCAAATCTCTCCCTATTCATCTTGAGAGAATATTTATTATTTTCTATGTAGTATGAAGCTCCGCTATTAGCATACCATACCATGATTTTCCCATTAAGATATGACAAATTATACATGAGAACAACATCACACCAAACCTTGTCCTCATAACTTCCAACAGTGAACGACAATAACACCCTTTTATTTTCTTTACTCCTTTCCACTTGAAGGGTGCAATAAGCTCAATACAAGGTAAGTTCAATCTCTCAACCATATAAGTGCTAATTAAGTCATATCCAAACTCTGTCATTTCTCATGGCACATAGCTTAGACAACATTTTAACTCTAGTTTGAAAAATAACTCTACCTTGGTCCTCCTCATCCTTGCCAAGTTGTACATTCATTTGGGTCCTCCTTTACTCAACTATGATGGCATCTATCGCACCAAGTCGGACAATATTCATTCGGGACACCTTGGCTAGGTTGTTGTTGTTTTGAGTTCTGGCTTTAGTTTCCTCACCTATTTGAGACATCTCAAGAAAATATCAAAGAAACAAGTATCTCTCAATTTGGCTCCCCGCATCCCCCCTCCCCCCCCCCCCCCCTCTTGATCTTGTACTCTCTTGCCTTTTTTCACTCAAATTACTACCTTGGACTGAATCCTTTAGAGATTATATATAAACCCTACTAGTAACAACCCTTCAGAAGTAAGATGTAGAAAGCAAAATAATTTACCAAAACTCAAACGAATTGGGTGATGAAACAAGAAAAAAAAAACAAATTGTGTTACAAGAATTATTTTCAATTTTTCCCCCTCTTCTTGATTTGACTCTTTGACTTAGGAAACCAAGAATCAAAACAAATCCGGAGTTTCTTAAAACTATCTTAATTCTCAAGTAATTTTTATTTTTTTTTGCTATATATGTAGCTTACCTTTTTTTGGGTAGATCAAGAACCTCCCATGATTATTAAGTTGATAAGAACCACTGTCATTCCACTTCATTAAAATTGAGTTTACTTGAATAAAACAAAAAAATAATACGATTAAAAGACTAAAGACAAAATTTAAAGATATGTGAAAATCGAGAATAAAATCCTCAAATTTCAAGATTAAGTGCTAAGAACTCTAATTGATCTTAATATTCAAATTAGCACATTAAAAACAACTATTGATTCTAATAAAGTCAATTCAAGAAGATCAAAAGGTAATCTAAACCCATATTTCGAAGAAATTAAAGACAATAAATAGTTTGAGACCGATTACCTTCTTTAATTTGTACTAATAAGAACCAAAGATATCAAATTAAGAATTAAGCTTATCTCTTAAAGAATCATTCTTATAGGGTTGTAAGATAAATTTATATCCACCATACAGAATGGTGGAAATGAGATAAACCTCTCAAATAATATTCATCACGTCTAATAAAAAATAACAAAATATCTTTCCCCAAATAACATGAGATCCATCAAATCCTATTTCTATGGAAATAATAAATACTAAAACCAATCTAGGAAACTTTTAAATTAGAAAATTCTAAACTAGGAAAGCATGTAAACATAATACCAAACTTCTTCCTAAAATAAGCTAACAAAATGAAAGGAAAAAGTGGCCAAATTCCCTCCATTTCACACGCCTAATTTCAGCACTACGTTGGGCATGAATTTCAGCCGTTTTAGGGTTTTAACTTTCAACATTTTGGGCATGCAAATAAGCCTCTTGTTGGGCACTCCTTTGGGCTTCTCTTGGGGTCCATGTGACCCCACCAATCTTCCTCCTCTTGGACTTGAACTTGAATCATGAAATACATGTAGCACGTAGTCCATTCTCTTCATAATTCTTGGGTTCTTCTTCCATGATAAGCATCTTCTTGATTTTCCATTGAAACCCATCAAACTTTAATTGAGGTATGCCACCGTGGATACTATCAATCGTACTTCTAGCTGAGGCCATTTTGGTTCACTCATTTCCAGTTGGTACATGAGAAATTTTCTTGTATAAGATGACATCTGAGAGTTAAGTTTATCTGTTCATGGTATATACAAGCATTGGTCTTTTACAATGGGGTCAGGTAGTTTTGGGCTGGGTCTTATAGCCATTAGGATCAATAAATTTGTTCCATGTGTTCAATTAAAAGCTCCACATATTTCCATGTCAGCTTCCGTCAAAACGAGGGGCAATTTTGTGGTTAAAATAACGTGAAGGGCAATTATGGTCCAATAGGTGAAAGTAGAGTATTTTGATCCATTTTCGATACGTTCAGGGAAATTGTGACCCTTTTCTGTAAAATGATTAATACCTTCCTTTGAAAGGAATATGGACACCGTTTTGGTATTGAGCAAAATGGGAAGTTGGACTACTTTTTCAAACAGAGGAAGTAGGATTCAGGAAACTGTTCAATTTTGTTATGTTCCTAGGATGCCACCTAATATTCAATTTTGTTCTGTTTTTGGGCTAGCTTGACTCCACCCATTTGAACATCAAGGGTGTGTTTGGTATGAAAAGAAAATATTTCAATTGAAAATGTTCACCGTGAAAGTATTTCTTTTAAAATGTTCTCCTGCAAAATACATGGCTTTCTTACTTATTGCTTGTGTACTATTATCTCAAAAGTATTTGTGTACAATATAGAAAAATACTATGGGAGGTGAGGGTGGAAGTATAGGGGTAGGGCATGGTGGGCTACTGAAGTGTGGGGATGAGGTGTGCTTATTGTGGAATGTCACTTGTGGAATTTGTTTTCCCTATTTCTATCAGGAAAGTCATTTTCCTCATTTTAAGGAACTTGCTTTTATAGAGAAACATTTTCCAAAAGTTTTGACCAACCAGACATGGAAATATTGAAAAATTTCCTCCATCCCTAAGCACTCTTCGACCTTGAGCTTTAGCTTGACTTCAGCCACGTGAAAATCCAAGTTTGATAGTAATGGAATCCCAAAATAAATATTGAAAAATTTCCTCCATCCCTAAATACTCTTCGACCTTGAGCTCTAGCTTGACTTCAGCCATGTGAAAATCCAAGTTTGATAGTAATGGAATCCCAAAATTAACTGTTCTGCCCTGATTACTTTACTAGCCTCTCTCAGGTTCCTTGGACCATCCTTTCAGATTCCTCCCCCAGTCTGCTTTTCTCTCCCGCCCCCCTTCCCTTCCAGTAGGGCATCTTCTCCCCCATTCCTACCTTGGTAAAGCCACCGTTTCTTTTGTATATATCTTGTTGTGTGTTCATCTGCAGTTTGCACCTTGCAGAACCATGTTATATTACACATGGTTAATTATTTTACTTACATTCTTTTGTTTTATGTGTTAAATTTCTTAATTAAAGGAAAATAGCAGCATGTTTTTGCTTGGATGGAATATGTTGGGGACTTGGGATAACGAATATGTAGATTTGTCTAATGAAGGAAGCCATTACCCAAATGTCGAAAAGTGAAAAGCTAAGCTTCATTGTTCCATGCTAATTATTGACTGGTATTGTGGGAACTAAACTTTGCCTGCATATAACTGGCTGGCCCAAAGTCTTGTGAAAGCGATTCTATTTTTTTCTTGTCATTCACAGTAGAAGCTTCTGTAATTTCTATATGAGGTGATTATTGTGTTGGCATGACGAAAGCCTCTCTTATCAAACAAAAAAGAATAAAGAGCCAATATCATTTTTTTGAAAGGTGTATTTTAACTTTTCAAACTAGAGCTAGGTCTGTTTATGCTGATGACTTAAGTGCCTTGAGGCTGGGACGATTTTGTTAGTCTCATCTAACCTAAACACAAAATAGCAAGTTGATGCACTATTTACCATCCTATTTCTTACGTTGTGTAATATTTCTGTGATAGGTCAAGAGATGGTTGGGATGATAAATAAATTTAATTGGCCATTGAGTGTCTGCCAGCAGAAAGGGATTGAATTTGTGCATCTGCAATTGCTTTCTGAAGAGGTAACAAGTGTGATGTGGTTGTTTCGATCCAGATATCACACAAGTTACACGGGAGTTATACTTATTCAGAGGGTCTTTATTGTGACCAAGGGTTGCCTTTGTCTTTTCTCCAGTTACTAGTGGAAAAAATGGCATGCTATATAAATTTATACATGAAATTTATACTAAACTGCCCTATTATACCTTCTTCTTCTCCTTTTTGGGGGGGCAAAAGACAACTTTTTGAGCTAGTCAATAGCCTGATTTCCTTATTTGTATGTATATACAAGGAAATGTTTTCTTGAATTGAAATAATAATTCTGATTTTGAAGAATCTCCACCAATAACATTGATTTCAACACATGCAAATCCACTTTTGTATTCAAGTCGAAGAAATGTTTGATTCTTATTTAATGTGAAACATCAACTTGATTGAGGCATGACTTTGTAGTACTTGGATGTATACATTTTCAAATTATATGTATATGCAATCAGTGGCGGATCCACGATTTTAATGTTGTGGCTGCTCATTTAGCTACCAATCACAAAATATAAGTGTACAATTTTAACACTTGTCATAAAAAAGACAATCATATTTAAATATGATAGCAAAAAAAATCAATAAAAAACTACAATAAAAATTATTTTGGATTAAAAAAAAGAAGAAAGATACAATTTTTTCTATAAAATTTTGTTTAGGAAAATTCAGCAGAAGACAGTTTGTGAAAGGGAAAAAAAAAGGGGGCATCTTACATAAATTTCACTACTTTAGATCTTAATTATTAGGATTCTCGATAGTTTGTAATATTACTTTTTATACCATATTTTGGTCTCAAGATATATGTATCATTAATGGTGAGATACATGTATCCAACAATTTTTTAAAGCCGAGATACATGATTTGGTAATTTGAATTAAAGAGGGTGTAACTTATTTCTTAATTGAAGGATTACTTGCTGACTAATTAACAACCCAACATATTTACATGATTCTTGAGTATCAACTTTAACAAGTTTTTCTAAAATAACGAAATCATAACCCAGGTAATTTTGTTATTGTACTCTTCATCTTCTTTATCAGTTCCTTTCTTTGTATTTGAAAGTTTTGAGTTTTTATTTTCAAATAGTCAATATCACAATATTGTTGAGGCATTCGGGTTCATGGATTTAAGAAACTGAATACCAAAATTACAGAATTGGTGGAATGCTTTTGAGAGATAATGCAACGTACAATGATCTAGTTGTAGGTATCTCAACTTTAAAAATTGTTGGATACATGCGTCTCGCCATTAATGATAAATGTATCTTGGAGCCTAATTTGTAAAAGTTTATACAATTGAACTTTAGAGAAATATGAACTCTATCTCAAATATATGAATTGGACGTAAAATCAAGATACATTAGAATAATGAAAAAAAAAGTAATTAACCTCTCTGTATACTATCAAGATTTAGTTTTGAATTTGGGACATGTAAATAAGTATTGAGAGGATTAAGGAAGAAAGGAAGATAATGGAGATGTTTGAAGATGGTGGGGGTGAGGGTGAGAGATACAATAGGTAATGGAATTGGGGGAGGGGAAGGATAGATTGAGGCTCAGGGAAAAGAATTTGAATTGATAATTTATCATTAATTAAGGATTTTAAATTTTAAGATAATTATTCAATATCATATTTAAGGAATTTGTATATCTGATTAAATATTTTAAAATATATGGTATAAATATTAAAAGTGGTATTATGCGATTTTTTTTTAAACTAGAGGTAAATTAAGTGTACCTACTAAAGTATGTCTAGTTAAATAGTTTTTCCAAAACACAATCAGCATAGAGAGAAAAAATAAATAATCAGCAAAATAAATAAGTAGAACGAGAAGAGTTGAATTTTAAACCAAAAGTAATGTCCCTAGGGGGAATCGATGTGTGGCATACAACAAAGAAATGACCTTGAGCACTCACCTATAACCATCAGACCAACCAAACCATTTATTTCAAGGATCCTCACCTTTAAATTTTATATGATTCTTCTTAATTTCTACATAAATATATATAGTTTGATACGAAATTAGTGGGTATTCGAGCACTCGAAAAGTACCATGTGAATCCGCCCTTGTATGCAATAAGTATTATGTATACATAACTGTATATATACAAAATTGATTATATGTATCAAAATATATTGAAGTAAGGTAATATATCTATCATTAGTTACACAATATAACTATGTATACTAATAATGTATACATACAAAATATAAGTAATATATACATACTACATTTATCCTGTCACAATCAATGTATACAATAAATTTGAATCAAATAAAAAAAAGATATACATCAATCTTCAACACGCTAAATAAATGTATGCAATGATAATTTGCAATATAGTTTAATGTATATATGTATTCATATAGTTTCATTCATTAAAATAAGTACAAATCTTAGGAATCTCATAGTGTAAGTAGCAAAATACATCCCTACTCTTTTTTAATTTACACAAATCTCCTAAAATTGCCGTCATTCGGATACATCACATTTGATACATTATACAACTAGTTTGTTGAGATTAAAAAGGAAATTAAATATAAGATTAAATGTCACTTATCTAAATCATGCAAATCAAATTGATGTAATCTCTCCCAAATAACAGCTCCAAACAATTCAAATTTCAAATTTCCTCTCTCAAATCTCTCCAAAATCATAATAGATTAAAAAAAAGTCGACAATTTTACATAGTTATGTATCATATACCAAAAAAACTTTGAATATGATATACACTGATTTAGTTATAAAACAGTGTTGCGGATACTTAACAACGTGTGATACATCACAACATCTGATACTTATGTGTCATAACTATGAATATGATACAAACTGATTTTGTTATAAAACATTAGTGTTTATGTATCAACAGTAATATTTGATAGTGTCTACAGATACATAGCATTCTAGTTGAGTAATGCTGGGCGTATGTATCGGGTAGTAAAAGAAACGAAATTTATAATAGTTGTGTATCCAATACATAACTATGAACATGATACATACTAGTTTATATTTCAATAAATTAGGATTATGTATCAAAACTAATATTCAAAAACGATATATTCTACATGATAAAATTGTTATGTATCATAAAGGTGAAACAAACGAATTATACATTAATTTAAGAATCAAAATCAACTAAATACATTAAAAGATCTGATGAAAGCAACAAAAACTCAAATAAAAATACAACAATTTGATATGCTAAAAGCAAAAAAAAAATGATGAAGAAATCCTTCCACACTTTCTCCTTTGCTCTGTATCAACTCTTGTAGTTTTTTTTTCACTTTCAACAATGGCGTCACCCATGGATCTCGACCCAAAGACCTTACTGGAGCCACCAACAACTCTTAATAAAATTGTAATGTATAATAATGTTGAAACGAAGGAATTATACATTAATTTAAGAAACAAAAACAACTTGATACATTAAAACACTAAATATATATCTGTTAGCAAAAGATGAAGACAAAAATCGAAAAAAAAGTCAACAATTTTATCTACTGAAAGAAAAAAAAATGATGAAGATATTCTTCTACACTTTCTCTTTTGATTTGTATCAACTCTCGTAGCTTTTTTTCACTTTCAACAAGGGTGTCACCCATGAATCATGACCCAAAGCTCTTACCGGAGCCACCATCAACTTGACCCCCCCACCCCTCCCCCCGTTTTGGGCATTTTTTCCACAATCAATTTTGAAGTTGAAGACACATCCTTCTTCAGCTAAATTTGTAGATGAAAAAGCTAAGAGAATAAAAATAAATCGATACATGATGAAATGGAAAGAAAAAAAATTGATGATGAAGAACTACCTCTTCAATAACTTGCAATCGATAAATCGGAAAGAAAAAAAATGAAATTAAAAAATAGAGTGATGGAGATAATTGGTGATACCATTGAGTGATTTTAGGCGTGAAAAAAAAGGAAAAAATTTGTGGGGTATCGTGATAGTTTACAGTGATGTATCCAGAAAAGTGAGAGAATTTGTGAAAAGATGTATTTTTGTAATTTTTTTAAAATGGTAGGGAATAATAGAAAATAGGGTAAACAAAAGATGTATAGTTAGGTAATTTTTCCTTAAAAAAGGGAAAACTACACAAATTAGGCATATTAGGCAAAATGCTTATACAAATTGGACCCAACCCAATATATTTATCGTAATTGGATCCACAGCCTAAACTATTTACGTGACTACCCCTTATTGTATTCATACCATCAGAGTGTCTATATATATATATACACTGATGGTATCAAGAGTAAATGCAAATTAGTAGGTAAAAATAGGGGGTATGAAAATAAGGGATAGCTAAAATGTCTAGATATACTGTTTGAAGTTAGTCTCAATTGTCCTCACCGTCCAAATTGAATATATATGCAATAGGTATTATGTATACACATTTGATCGTATGTATGCAAACTTGATTATATGCAATATTTTGACGGAATGTAATATATCTATCAATAGCTACATAATATATTTATGTATACTAAAAATGTATACAAATAAAATATAAGTAATATATACGTAGTGCATTTATCATGTCATAATCAATATATAACATAAATTTTGATTCAAATAAAAAAAAGTATACATCAACTAATCAACACGTTAAATAAATGTATACAACGATAATTTGAAATATAGTTTATGTATATATATAAAAATTTAATATGCCACATGTATCCATTAAATTTCATTCATTAAAAAAAGGATTATATATGCGCCTGAACTTTGTCAAATTGTCTAGATATACCATCTATTTGAAGTTTGTCTCACATGTTTTCTCGTCGTCTAACTGTTTTATTTTAAAAATGAGAAAGAATGAGATTTTAAGAGTCGCCACTTAATTTTTAAAGGAAAACTAAGAAAACTATTTTTTTTCAAAAGATTAAAACAAAAATCAATTGAAAATATTTAAAGGGTTCGGGATTCATATTAGCATTTCAGGAAGGGTTTGAAAGCACCCGAAATGTCCGCTAACATGCAGTTATCCGGTAACTAACATTTGACTAATTGATTTTAAAATAAAAGTGTCCATACTTAAACTAATTAAGAAGTAAATAATTTAAAAGTTTAAAAGATCTTAGAGGGGAAAGGGGGATATTGAAAATATTATTTAAGTACAACATTTCACAAATTTTCTTTAAAAAGTCGAGTAGACAAATATTTACTTAATTTTAAATAATTAATTCAAAATGGTTACCTTTTGAAGCATTGATAAGGAAGAACCATAAAATTAAATAAACATATAAAACACAGTAGCAAATAAATAGAGAAGGAGGGAAAGATTTGGGCCCAAGACTGGTTCTCTGTCCACCTGGGCCAGTACTTGGGCCTAATTTCGTTTTGGGCCTTTGGCCCATTTAAATCACTTGTACCTGTCTTAGTCTACTATAGAGAAA